GAGCTTTGGCCCATTAACTGAAGGGCCGCAGGTTTGATTCCTGGTCAGGGTACATGCCTGGGTTGTGGGGTTGGTCCTTGGTGTGGGCTCCTGTGAGAGGCAACTGATTGATGTTTCTCTCTCTCTCTCCCTCTCTCTCTTTCTCCCTCCCTCCCTTCCCATCTCTCTCTGAAGTCAATAAGCATATATTAATACATATAAATAATCACAATTAAATATAAAATTAACAGGCTGGTAGAATAAATACATTCTGTTCTATAGCCTGCTCTTTCACTTAACAAAATATGTGGTATATTTCTATGCTAATACAGCTTTTTTTTTTAATGACTCTATCTTCTATTGCTAGACATTTAGGATATATCCAATATATTCTCATTATCAGCAATGCTGAAATAATTATCCTTGAACATACATCTGTGTGCACTTGCCTGATTGTTTACTTTGGATAATTATTAGACATGGGCAAAGGGTATGCACATATTACGTGTTGACACATCTATCTGTTAAGCAAATGTTTACTGAGGGGCTAGTATGTGTTGCCCATTTATGCTTGATGAACAGATACCTTGGGGGAGCTTTTAGTCTGGCGGAGAGACTGACAGTTGAACAGATGAACAAATAGTAGGTAGTTACGAACGGTGATGAGTGGTAAGCAGGAAACGAACTCCTGTGGTATGAAAACACCAGGGACCTCCTTAGACAGATGACCAGTGATGGCTTCCAAGGAGGTGACATTGAAGTGGCGACTTTAAGGGTGAGGGCAGGCCCTGTTAGGATGGAGAGGAGGTAAAATTTTACCTCTCTGGGTAAAATCCCCAGCAAAGAAGCAGCGTTGATATTTAAGGATCTAAAAGGAAACCAGTGGGGCTGGCGTAGCTGAGACGAGGGTGGAGTGGCAGGCAAGGTCCAGATAACACGAGATCTTACAGGTCATGTTGGAGCATTTGAATTTTATTTTATTTTATGGAAGGTCACTGGAGGGCTTTAAGCAGGTGAGTGACTTGCTGCATTTCATTATTTTTTAATGATCATTCTGGTGGTTGTTTGCCATTGTTTGGATGGAGGCAAAGCCAGGAGACTAGTAAAGAAATTGAAGTGGTCAAGGCAAGAGAATATAGTTTGGAGTGGGGTGTTAAGAATATATAAATATGCCCTGGCCAGTGTGGCTCAGTGGGTTGAGTGCCAGCCTGAGAACCGAAGGGTCACTGGTTCGATTCCTGGTCAGGCCATATGCCTGGGTTGTGGGCCAGGCCCCCAGTAGGGGGCGCATGAGCCACAACTACACATTGATGTTTCTCTGGCACATTGATGTTTCTCCCCCTCTCTTTCTCCCTCCCTTCCCTTCTCTCTAAAAAATAAATAAATAGATAAATAACATCTTTAAAACAAAGAATATACAAATAGATCAGTGGATAGAAACAAAACATTTATAAACAGGGAATTTAAAATATGATCAAAGTGTATGTTCCTACACATAATACTGCTGTAACAGATCTTAAAATATAATGTAAAGCTTACATTATGTTTTACATTTATTATTATTGTAATCTTACCATAACATTAATATAATTATTCAATTTCAAAAATTTCCTGGCTTTTTTTCCTATATTTATTTATCAAGATAAATTTTAAGAAAACTTTTTGTCGCATTCCATAGTATCCCACCCCCAATCATGTTGGGTCTTTGATTTGGATTACACTCAATTCATACATTGAGTTGAGGAGACAGGACATCTTTGCAACACTGAGACCTCCTGCCCAGGGATTTGTCGTGACTTTCCATCGATTACGGACCTCTTGCTTGTCCTTGTGTAAGGCTTTTTAGTTTCTCTGTGCCCTCCCATTTCTTGTTAAGTTTGTGCCTAGGTGTTTTCTTGTATACATTACTAATGTGAATACAAATTTAAAAAAAACGTACTTTTTTAAAGGAAGTTACTAGTATTTAGTGGCTTATTTAGGGGCTCCTATAAGTAGTACCTTGCTCCCTCTTTTTCTTTTGGAAGAAACTGAGGCATAGATATAGGAAAGAGACATAAGATAAACATGCTTCTTTTATTACTAATAAAGTTGACCGGAAAATGTAGCTTTGGGTCTGTAGCCAAGTGGGCTTCCTATATTTCCCCTTGAATTGGATAGATTTACCTCTATAGTATCAGGCAGTGCTGGGCAATACTATCTTTCTGCCCCAGAAATAGGTCCACTTACCACACGGTGGAGAGTGCATGAAAATATTCGCTCCCTGCCATCAGCCAAAGCCAAAAAGAGAACTCCGAAGCGTCTGTTCTTATCTACTTCCTTCTCCCAAACGCACTAATCGGCAAAGTCACTCATCCCTCCGCGCCCACCAAAAGTGGAGAGAGACCAAGAGCCTTTCTTTGAACTTTATTTTTTTTAAGATTTATTTATTTATTTTTAGAGAGGGAAGGTAGGGAGAGAGAGAAAGAGAGAGAGAGAGAGAGAGAGAGAGAGAAACATCAATGTGAGGTTGCTGGGGGCCATGGCCTGCAACTCAGGCATGTGCCCTGGCTGGGAATCGAACCTGCGATGCTTTGGTTTGCAGCCCGCGCTCAATCCACTGAGCTACGCCAGCCAGGCCTGAACTTTATTTTTATTGTTTACACTGTTACGGTAGTCCCTATTCCCGCCCCCCTTTGCCCACCTCTACCCAGCCTTCACTCTCCCTTCCCTCATGCCATCGCCACACTGTGGTCTTGTCTATGGGTCTCGCATCTGTGTTCTTTGACTAATCCCTTCACCTTCTTTCATCCAGTCCCCCTGCACCCCAGACAGCTGTCAGTCTGTTCCATGTATCCAGCCCGAGAGAAGCCAAGAGTCTCATTCTAATGGAAGTCCTTCTATATGGAGATGATTTTCAAAAACCCTTAGCATTTAGGAAAGCCATTGATTTTTGCTTACCTTATAACTGGCCTTTACCAGAACCTCTAAACTTTTCAGTTAATTCTCTTCCATTTTTATTTTTAGGTATGCACATGAATAAATAACGACACATTTGTCTCTTCCAATATTTGTATTTCTTATTTACTTTTCTTATTGTATTGCATTGGCTTCAGTTTTTAGCAATTATAGTAGGCATCCTTGTTTTGTTTTTTACTTAAATGAGAAAAACTTTAGTGTTTCACCATTAGAAAGTTTGTTGATGGCTTTTCATAAGCTTCGTCATGCTAAGAAGTTTAAATTTTCTTCCTAGTTTACTAAGAGTTTTTTAAAATTTTACAACTGGCTAAAGTTTATTAAATACTTTGAAAGCATCTATCCTGTTAAGATCCTGTGATTTATTTTCCTTTAACAATGTGGTGAATTTACAGATTCCCTAATGTTGAATCATCCTTGTACTTTTGGAATGAATCTTGCTTGATCATCGTGGGTTTTGATTTGCTTTACTGCAATCCAGATTTAAATTGCTAAAATTTTGTGTAGTAGTTTTTACAACTACTATGTGCTTGAGTGGGTTGATCTATAGCGGTGATTTACATATGGGAGATTAATTAGTGGACTTCTTTTCCAAGTTCAGATGCGTTTGAGAAATGCCAAGTTAAACAGGTTGCTCTACTCCTGGGCTTCACATGGACCTTAATCTACTAACACTTATTGCGATTCTCCAAAAGTTAGATTATAAATGGCGTGCAACATTTTCTCAAATTATCTGACTGCGGATAATATGCGATCTAGTGTTCTGTAGAGGTCTGCGCTTCTCTTTTTGGTGTTATCTCTGATTTTAGTATCTGGTTAGGCTAAACTTGGGAAGTGAAATTAAAAACTTTCCATCTTTTGTGTGTGTGTGTGTGTGTGTTTAACAGTTTAAATAACATAGTGGTTGTCTATCCCTTAATGGTTTGCTAGCACGTGCCCGTGAGACCTTTCGAACCAGTGGCATTTGAGTGACACATGCACTTGGAACGGACACCCTTGCCCGGCTTCCCCACAGGACCTTTTCTTCGGCAGCCAGCTCTGCTTGGCCCCGTTTTTCTTTAGGAACAGACAGCTATTTTGGAAAAGCCTGGAATGTGTGAAAAGGAGACTTGATGCATTAGCAAATTGATGCATATTCACTCCTACATGGTTCTCAGCTCCAAATGCTCCAGCCTTCTGAAAAGAATCCTTTCAAATAGCATGCTGGCGTCTGCTTGGGGGGTGCCTTGCCCGGGCTGGGTAGGGTATATGTGGCTTGTTCCTTTCCCTAAATAGTGTAGGGTAGCACCTCTGCTTAAACCTTTCCCTCTGGATGCTTCCCTGAGGCAGACCCCATAACTTTGGCTCTAGGCCTCTGTGGGTGCAGCAGCATATGGGGAAGTGGGAATTTGCTAGGAGATTGGGTCAGTTTCAGAGGCCTGGAACTAGCCGTGGGTTCTAGGGTCTAACCAAGCTTGTATTGGGGCAGGTGGGGCAGTGGGGTCCCCTGAACTGGAGATGTGCAGAGGAATTGGCGTGGGCTTCAGGAAAGCCTAGAAGGGCTGTGTGGGCCAGTGTCCCTGCAAGAGGCATGTGTAGGCGTGTGTGTGCACGTCTGACGGTTAGCCGAGGCTCCAAGAGGCCTGGGGGCTTCCAGGGATCTGAGGCAGTGCGTTACGACTGGTCAAGGATGCAGTGAGGCCTATGAGAGCTGAGTGGGCTGCTGGTCCCTGGAAGAGACCAACTTAGGGGAGGGGATACTGGTGTCCCAGGCTCCAAGAGGCCCGGGGATCCCGGGGGTCTGAGGCTCGCACTGAGGCCGCCTGCAGGCTCCGTGAGGCCCGGGTCGGCGGCGCGGCCGTGGGTGAGGCCGGGGTTGGGGGCAGGCAGGTTAGGGTTAGGTGGCAGCACGGGCTCCGGACGCCAGGGTCTCGGGGTTCCTGCTCCATCCTCTCGCCCGAGCCAGCCCGGGGCGCCGGCTGCCACCCCCGGAGCCAGCGCCAGAGCCAGGAGGCCCGGAGCCCGGCCCGCGTCGGGAGCGCCGCCGCTGTTGTCGCCGCCGCCGCCAGGCCGCGCCCCGCCCCCGCCGCCGCCGCCGCCGCTCTCGGTGAGGCTCGCGCTCGAGCTGCGGCGCCGGCCCCGCCGCCTGGGCCCCGGGCCCGGCCCCTCCCGCGCCGCCCGGGCGATGAGAAGCTGCTTCTGCGTGAGACGGAGCCGGGACCCGCCGCCGCCGCAGCCGCCGCCGCCCCAGCGGGGAACAGTTAAGTGAGGCCGCGCGGGCCGGGCGCCGCGGAGGCTTGGCCGAGCCGGCCCTGCTGCCCCGGCGGGCGGGCGGGCGGGCGGGCGCGGGCCCCGGGCCGAGGGGCGGGCGGGCGGGCGGAGCCGAGCGCGCCGAGGCCTGCGGGCTCCGTGCCCGGCCCGCGCGGCGGGGACAGGCCCGGCCGCTTCTGCCCGGCCCTGCGCGCCGCGGCTTCCCGTCCGGGCTTGGCCTTGCGGCGGGCAGGAGGTAGGGAGCTTGGGGACCCGAGTGCAAGCAGCGCCCCCAGGGCTGGGACAGGTGATGGCCTCCCGAGAGCCCCCTCCGCCTGTCTGAGAGGCGAGGCAGCTCACCAGTGCCCAGGACGCCCGGGCACACACTTCGGACAGACATTTGACTGGCCTGGCCTGGGGTCCAGCTCTCTGTAATCACGTGGGTGCAGACCAGAGTGCACCTGAGCCTCGGGCATCATCTGGGGTGTGGCCTCATCTGCGACCTGGCCGCAGCCAAGAGGAAACCCAGTAGCCAGGGCACCTGTCTGCAAGATGAGGCGCCTGGCCCGGGCACCTGAGACTCAGGATACTCATCCTGGAAGGATGGTGGCTGTGTTGATGAGCACCCCACAGGGACTCCAGCTCAAGTGGGGCTCAAGGGCAGGGGTTGGGACAAGAGCTATGGCCTAGCGCCAGGAGACATCAAATCCTGAGAGACAGGCCCAGGTGAAGAAGGCTCATGAGCATCTTTGTCCTCTTTGTTGTCAACACATAACTCTTCCTAAATGATCAGCCTTTCTCGCCATAAAAAAAAATATGTCTCTTCCGTTCCCTGCTCCTCAGCAGCCTTTCAGCAAGGCACAAGGGAAGGCCACGCCAGGGCAAAAGGCAAGTAGCTGTTGCCCCTTCTCTGCTCCCCACCCCCACCCGAGGAGCAGCGCCCACTCAGATTTCTGCCACAAAAGCAGACAGCAGGCCATGCCTCCTCTGCGGCCTTTGTCTCTGGTGGTTCCTCCTCAGCGTAATCTCATTGTACATTTCTCGACAGCTGGCTGGATCTCATCTCATTGTAACAGGGCCAGAAAATCTTATCGGTGGCACCAGAAAAGCCTCAGCAAAGTTAGGAGATAAGCTCTGCGGAAGCCTAGGCTAACTGAAAAACTCAGTGTCCTCGGAAGATTAGTTACAGGAGGTGGGCGACACCTTCCTTGCTCTCCGGAAATCGTGCAGGGTACTAGGAGATATTGTGCCACGTGTAGGAAGTTTCAATGGGGCCTCTGAGAGATAGGGCCTGTGCTGGGGCCGGGGCACCCAGACTCAGGGAAGCGGTTGGCGTGGCAGTTACTGGTTCATCTGGACCTAGAATTCGTCTTCGCTCATGCACAGTTTTCATCCCTTCCTTCTAGCATCTTTGGCCGCGCTCCTTATTTGTGTGGAAGGCATTCTCCCGGCCCTCCCACTGTCCCCACTGTAGCTGGAATAGTGCACATGGTTGTGAAATGCAGGGGCTCTAGAATCAGACCTCCGCTGAAGCCTTGGCTTTCCCGCTCACTGTGTGTTCTTGGGCAAATGAAGGAACTTTTCTGAGCCTCAGTTGCCTCGCCTGTAGAGTGAGGCTGATGATAACCCCTCTCTCGCGTAGAACTGTGGTGGGAATTCGATGAACTGTTGCAGGAGAAGCGCTTAGTTCCGTGCCTGCCACGGGGGTGAGTGGTCAGTAAAAGTTCGTGGTTATTAAGGTTTGCTAACTGATTCATCAGGAGAGTAGCCTCATTTTTTATTTATTTTTTTAGAGTGCCTTTCTGTGGTTATTATTTAGCTGTTCTCGGGGCAAACGGGAAGGGAAGCTGGAGCAGAAAGAATGCTGGGCTTGAATTTAGGGGCTTGGATTTGAGTCTCACTGAACCTCCTGGAACTCGGGTCACTCTAGGCAAGTCAGGGAGCCTCGTGGAACCTTTCTGATCCCCTACTTCCTTATTCGTTAAAGTGGCTTAAGAATAAATCGTACCCCGTAAGTCCGACTCAGCTGATGTAAGGACATGTGTATGACGTCGTGGAGGATGAAGGGGGGTGGTCCTCACTAAGTTGCAGTGGGATTCAGGGACAGACCCCAGTTTGGTGGGTCTGCCGTCTAGACACTGTGTGTGGGAGGGGTCGTGGCTCTAAGAAAAAGATATAGAAGAATGTCTTGCTTCAGTACATTTCCCAACACTGAACGCCCAAATACGTTCCTGGATCCCTTCTCAGGGCCTTGGAAGGGGTGGGGGCGGGGGCTGAGAGCTCCTCTCTGTCCCTTTCGGAGCAGGTCTGCTCCTGGGGGCGTGCACATCCAGGTGTCCTGGGCCCCTCTGCCCTCGCAGGTTGGAAGTGCCCCATGCCTCACGCTCGGAGAGCGACCTCCTCGCCACACTGGAAAATAATGATGGTGCCGGCGTCCACAGGGGAAATGTCAAAGGTGGTATTACAATGGCGAAGATAACAAATGAGTACATGGCTGGATGTGGTGGGCTGAGAACACTGTACTTAGTGGGCTGCGGCTGAGTGAGCAGAGTCTCCTTCGCTCGTTAAGGCTGTGGGAGGGGAGGCCTGGGTTCCTTGAGCGAGCCGCCCGCCTCTCTGCCAGGCTGTTCTCGCTCGGCTCCGAGGCCCTCCCCGGTGCTCCCGGGTCTCCCGCTCCCCGGGCCGCCCCCTTGGGACTTGCGGTTCCCCTGCCTCGTCTGCTCCGTTTGCAGCGGGGCTGCCTGTGTCAGGTCTGCTCTCCCCGGCTGCGTGGGAGGCAGAGACACTGCCGGGTGCGTCTGACATTGCCTCCTCGCCGGGGCATCCTGCGGGCATGTGTTTGGTTTACTTGACACGCTGCTGGCGAGATGCAGGGCTTGTCCAGGCTGAAACTCGAGAGGCCCGTGGGCCTGGAGCCCAGGGGCCCGGCGTCGGAGCTTTGTAGCTCACACGTCCCTGCGGGCCGGATGGCCTTCTCATGGAGCCCGTGGCCAGAGTCAACAGCTTGGGGTTGTTCCACACACGCATTTTTAAATTAAAAAATGGGCACTTATCAGCAAAGCAGGCCGTTCAAAAGAGGATCCCCTGATCCTCTAGAAGAGACACGTCAATGAATACATTCTTCCCTAGGATGTTGATGAAAATGAGGGTGCCGGGACCTCACACCCAGACCGGGACTCAGAGTATCTGAGGAGGGGGCCCCGGATCTGCATGGTGAAAACCCTCTCGGGTTGCACCTCTGCTTATTGACATAGAACCACAATGGTGGTAGATACTTCTAAAAAAACAAGAGTTGTAAAATTCACATAACATAAAACTTACCATGTTACCCACGTTTAACTGTACGGAGCGGCGGCACTCAGTGTGTTCCTGCCGTGTGAGTAATCTCCGGCACGTCTTCATCTTGAGAAACTGAAACTCCGTGCCCTTTAAATAACTCTCGTTCCCTCCTCCCCCAGTCCCTCAGCCCCTACCACTCTCCTTTCCATTTCTATGAATTTGACTAGTCCTCTAGGTACCTCATCTACCGTATTTTTAGGACTAGAAGACGCACCTAGGTTTTAGAGGAGGAAAACAGGAAAAAAAAATTTGGAGCAAAAAAAGGGTAAAACGTTTAATAACCTGTGACCCCTCTCCACCGCCCGCGCCCCCGCAGCGAGCCAGGGAAGCTACATTCGAACTATAAGACGCACCCCCATTTTCCTTCCAAATTTTGGGGGAAAGTGTGTCTTTTAGTCTAAAAAATACGCTAAGTGGAATCCTACAGTAGTTGACCTTTTGTGACTGTTTATTTCACTTCGAATAATGTCTTTAAGGTCATTCATACCGAAGTGTGCTATGCGCTAGAGTTTCCTTGCTTTTTCAGACTGAATAATACTCCATTGTACGGATGCGCCACATTTTGCTGATCGGTTCATTTGTTTACGGACACTCGGGCTGCTCCCGCCTTTCAGCCGTTGTGTGTCATGCCCCTGTGAACGTGGACATACAAATCTCTCTTCAAGACCCTGTTTTCAGTCCTTTTGGATGTGTGCCCAGCGTAATTGCCAGATCGTACAGAAATTTTATTTTAAGTTTTTTTGAGGAATCGCCGTACTGTTTTCCGGAATGGCTGCATTTTCGTTCCCACCAACGGTGCACCAGGGCGCCACTTCCCCCACACCCTCGCCCACACTTGTTTTTCGTTTTCGGAGAGTGGCCGTCCTGCAGGGTGTGAGTTGGCATCGCGTTGTGGTCTTGGTTTGCATTTCCCTAATGACACCCTGTCTTTCCGGTGCTGGTGGGCCATTCGTATGTCATCTCTGGGGAAATGTTCAGTCACGTCCTCTGCCCGTTTGTCATTTAATCATTTCAGTGTCTTTTGCTGTCGAGTATTAGGGGTTCTTAGTAGGTCTGGATTTTAATCCCTTATCAGAGGCTATCATTTGCCAATGTTTCCCCCATCCCGTGGACTGTCTTTTCCACCCTGTGGATTGGATCTTTCGAGGCAGGTTCTGCAAGTTCTTTACACGCATGATAACCCTGTGGAGAAAATAGTATCATCTCTTATTCCAACGCTACAGGGGTGGAAACATGCGCCCAGTGTAGGCAGCCTGCCTGGGGTCGCACAGCTGTGCTAAGTGTCAGGGCCGGCGTTCAAGCTTGGGGCCCTCTGACTCCAAAGCCTGCAGCACTTCCGCCCCTCTGCTTTCCTTTCCTCCACCCCCCACCCCCACCCCCACCCCCACCCCCACCTGTCCCGCCCCGCTGAGCTGGTGGCGTGAGCAGGCCCCATGGGGGTCTGCAGCGAGTGGCGTGTTGGTCTGAGAAGCATTCAGTTACAGGAGAGGAACTGCAAACGGAAGGAAGACTTGGGAATCCCTCCCTTCCGACCAGTGGGGCGCCCCTTCCTGTAGACCGACGTCGTCGCTCGGCCCTTAGAAAGAGCAGAGAAGTGCAGACTCTTGTGTGTGTGTGTTTGTTTGTTTGTTGAAACATCTCATAAGCTTATCCCAGAACCCGTCTACCACT